ATTACAAAAAACGACATAAAAGAATATTCCTAAATTTAAATATTCCTAAATAAATAAAATTTAACATTAGCCGTGTTATTCTTAATGCGCATTCTCGGAAAGAATATCCTCATACACAGGTGAGATCTTGTTGATAATTATATATCATCGCTGTCATTAGCGTATTTTCTCTTCGTTTGTTTAATCTTGGCATTTTCAAATTCTATCAAGTATTTTTATTGTTTTTCTTGGTGATGTACTATGTCATTGTGTTTATCGAGTGTTTTTTTCTTCAAGTGGTTTATTATAGACGTACCTACTCTTAACCATAACCAAATTTCTTGAATAATATCCTATTGCGAGGCTACATGAAATTATCTTTAATGCGCATGCTCAGTAACATTAATAAATAAAAATACATAAAATAAAAAATAAATTCTATATTTCTTTTAGTTTGTCACTTGGGGTATGAAACTTCATAAATATTTTAGCCAGAATATCGCGATATTTAAGATCATGACAAAGAAGGTATTTTTTTTGGCACTTGTCCAAAGTACATAAAGTCGAAAATCGAACTAGTAAAAATACTGAGAAATTTTTCATGACAATGTCCACTATGGAGTTGCCTATTATTTGGTGTATGTGACGTGACTACTAAAGAAGTCTATTGATTTCATTAGGTTAATTTTATGTTGAATTATACTTATTCTATACGCACCTTCCTTGTGTCCGTTCATTAACTAATCCCCCTGTACATTAATAGAATCGTTAAACTAGATAGTTGTTAAAAATAATATGAAAAGGATGAAGAAAATATTGTTTTGCAGTTTTTATCGAAATTTCAACATGTCGTATATTAATAATAGCAATATCGATAACGTAATAATGTTTAATATTAACATTTTTTCATAGGGTGGTCCATTTTTAAATACAGGGTGATTCAGTCATAATGTCATTAATTTTAAGAGCAGATAGAGAAAAATGAGTATAATACGATGGCGTGATTAAAAAAAAATTTAAATGCATATTTAAGCTGAAAAAAAATATTTTCAAATCATTATTTAACCCCCTTTTCAGGCTGTTACTGACCGGCTGACGTCACAATATTATGCACGGCTACGATATGAACCTATGAACAACGCGCCCTAGATGCAACGTTGCCATATTTATATATTTTCGCTCATATAAAGACAATAAATAAACGGTTTTGCTCACGTCAGCCAATAATAATTTAAAATGCTATAAATTATTTTTTATTTATGCAATCAACATATTAAATTGTTATTGTTGCCCAGCAAGAACCTCGAGGTCTGAGCATGCCTTGCCAAAAATCAGTTTTTATTAGCATCATAATTTTAATATTTTAACAACATTTGCTGTAAGCCCGAAGGGGAAGGTTTTCAAACAATTCTACTAAAAATTAGTAACGCGGCCCATTCAGATGTTCAGGTAGAAAATGCGGCCCAATTAAACGATCGCCATTGACATTGACACCGAATCTCCTCTGAAAGCTATACCACCGACGAGTAGTGTGCGGGTAGTAGTGTGTTTCATCTGACCAAATGTGACTATTATGGCTGCAAAGAAATTAGCTGTTTCACTTTAAATAAGATTTAATATTGAAGTTACAAAACCCCAAAAGTTCAAATAATTTAAATTTCATTTCATAACCATTTCAATTTCGTTACAGAAATAATGTCATAAAAAACCAACACTCACTAGATAAATTATAAAGAGAGGATAAATTGTATGCAGTATTTAAATATTGACTGCAATTAGAAGAGAGACTTGTATATTCCATAAAAAAACAATGGGACGGAGACAAATAAACAACTCGGTACGTCGTGTTTCCGACCTAGGGTAACCTGTGGTTCAGTAACCTTTTAACCCAGTTTTAATTTGCACACGTGCACCATATAGTCCAGGAGCCCGATGTGCAAACAACTTATTCTTAAATATTTGACCTCTTGAATCCAAAGAAACTTGGTCGCAAAGCCTGAAAGTGGTCAGTTTAATTGTTATCAACAAATTAAATGTTTAAATGGCTGTAAAAAGTTTATTTTTATAGCTAGTACAATTTATTCGCTAATAGTTACGTTTTCTCATAACAAATATGTATTTTTTTGGAAATTAAAAAAAATTAACTTTAACCAAAGTTATTGCAAATTTAGTGCAAATTTCTTACATTTTCCGTCTCCGTGCGCACTAATTTTACCATATCTGGTTCTAAGTTCCATTTATTTATTAATTTATTTAATAATTAATGGCATCTTAGAAAGTTGTGAAATTTCAACGAAAATGCCGGTTTTAATTGTTTATAAGGTTTTTTTTATTATTCAACTTCGACGAAAAGCCAAAAAAGTTACCGGATATTGTTCTTTGCATTCTAACAATCAAGCAAGGCATGAAATCATTGTTAGGATGCGAGGAACAATAACCGGTAACTTTTTTGGCTTTTCATAAAAATTGAATAACAAAAAAAGTTTTATAAACCAATAAAGCCAACATTTTCGTTGAAATTCCACAACTTTCTAAGCTGCCATTAATTTTTAAATAAATTAATTAATCAATGGAACTTACCTATCTTGTAAAATAAAGTTTAAGTTTTAAAATGAGATGTGCGTCTCAATCCGTCCAATTGAACCAGAGATATGGTAAAATTGGTGCGCGCAGAGACGGAAAATGTAATATATTTGCACTAAATTTGCAATAACTTTGGTTAAAGTTAATCTTTTTTTAATTTTCAAAAAAATATATGTTTGTTGTGAGAAAACGTAATAATTAACAGATAAAAAATTGTACTAGCTATAAAAATAAACTTTTTACAGCCATTTAAACATTCAATTTGTTAACAACAATTAAACTGACCACTTTCAGGCTTTGCCACCAAGTTTTTTGGTTTCGAGAAGTCAAAATACTTAAAAATAAGTTATTTGCAGCCGTGGAATTCTGTTTGGCTACGGAAACCTATCTGGCCCCTAGCCCCTAGACTAATACGAGTGTAGTAGCAAAAAGTTGTCGGTCTTTTATCAAAGGAAAATCGTATCAACAAATTTAATTTAAAATCTAAAATACCGGCTGTTTTCGTAGTAGCTGTAGTCGCCCAGGTGCATCGAGTGTACGAAGTGGTCGGTTATATGTCAAATACTAACCTGGCGAGCTTGAACCTGAACTTGGCAACGCTGTTCCTTTAGCCGACAACTGTTCGTGACATTACGTTACAAAATTTTCCGAGCATCCGGGCATCTGCCAGGGCCGCCCTCGTAGCGGGAGTTATGGGTTGATTTCCTTCATTTTTAAAAGTCGAGTAAAAATTTTTTTTTTCCGATTTTCTGTCTTTATTAAGCCTTCCGAATACGTGGTTAAAATTAATGACATTATGACTGAATCACCCTGTATAACTAACTTTAACAGTTGACAGAAAACTTGATTTTGAACAAAACAGTTCATATAATTTTAAATCGCTTCCTAACCTGGATATGTATAGAGTATCAAATTATTATTTTTTTATTTTTCTTTCGTGATATCTAAAAAAGAAAGTACTAGCGAAACCAAATTAGGTATGTCTAATTTTATATAATTTTTTTAAAAGTCATCTACAAACTATTCACTACAATCACCAGTGGCGTGGTAGACAGACCCTCTATTTTAAACTATAACATTTTTCGAATCGCTTATCAATTTCCAACGAAAAGCAAAATTGTCATAAAATTAAAAGGTTCTGAGTAAATGGTGTGAAACCATTTTAGTGCACAAAAAATTACTTAAAATTTTAGTTTATTCAGACAGATCCAGTAAGCGATGAATTTGTTTGGTGCTCATTAGTTGTTAGTAATTCCCAAATAAATAACTGTCAGTATCATTTAACACATTGTAAGTAAAATGGATAGGAGGAGAAGGTCATATATCATGACTTCAAGGGTCACTGGACCTTAACCCCCTTGATTATTTTTCCTGGGGTCATATGAAACGGCAGGAGTACTCTTCTCCAATGAATACAATGGAGAGACTAATAATGCATTCAAAATTCAAGGTCATTATTGCATAGATGCTAGTTATGTGTCGACGAGAAGAAATTCCAATTTGTAGATGACATCTACTTTAATTTCTGCTTGCTACTTTAATCTTCTGCAGTTACAATTTGTTTTTAAATACCTGTTTTCAAATAAATAACCCTATGACATGCTGTTATATTTATGAATGTAATAATAAAATTTTTTCAGTTCAATTAAAACTTTATGTAATCTTTATGTGAACTAAATGGGTTTCATACTATTTTTTCAGAACCCTATTATTTTATGACTACTTATTTATTTTGCAAGAACAGCTTTTCATTTAAAATTGTTCAGCGACATTAAAAATGTCATGAAATTTCAAAAAACTCGAAGGCGTAGAAATTCTATTTAAAATGAGTGCACTGACTACCCATTTATCACGCCTTTGGTTGGTGTTTTAAAGGATATTTGTTAGTACTTACTGATTTTAGATATCATGAAAAAGTTTAAAAAAAATAAATCCGACACCTTGTATCTTGGTTAGGCAGCTATGAGCACATAGACGTTTTTGTTTAAAATGAAGTGTCCTCAGCAGCATAAACGTATTTGAACGTATTTTGATATATTTTCCACATATTGGCCAAATATTGTAAACAACAGATTTTGACATAATATTGGTTATGAATCATATATACATGTACGTACATTATAAACAATATAAACCCAATATGGGTCGCAACATTACCAAAATAATATTAATTTTTTAAATGTACTGGTTGTATATTGAACCTTTATAGGAATTGTACTGACTATATACATTGGACGTCTTCTACCAATATCGGGACCACATCTTGTGCTACTGAAGCCTCTATTAACTATTATTAAAGTTTGTATAGTATGTTTAAAAAGGAAAACCCTGTATAAGTTTTTCAATACGTACGTTTAAGTGCGATCCAAAATAGTATTTTCTCAAGAATGCGTGCATCTTGACTTACATTTTCACTAAACCAATTTATATTATTCTAGGTTTGAATATCCGGACGCACGTAAATGGCAGCTCACAACAACCCCACTCACCACCATACAGTGGGGAGAGACACTCTAGTCCGCAGCACTACAGTCCTAATCATTACCAAAACAATCACCATGAAAGTTCCCCTTCCTATCAGTACGGACGTTTCGACGCTAGTGCCCTTCACATAGCACACGCGTTGAAACAGACAGAGCTACAAAAATCATACAAAATGACTAGGGAGAAGCCGATCGACTGCTACTTGGTAAGCACTTTTTATAATACACGTGTAGAACCATTTTATTGTCCTACAACTGTGGACTTACAAATATTAGATCATATTATAACTATTTCAATGATACATATCGTATGTACACCTGAAAATATGTCTCTAGCCGGATCTAAAATGGGTCATTATAAATCTGGTGTTTGCTATAACAAAAGGATATCAAAAAAATATTGAGATATGTGATTCGTGTAAATGAAACAGATAATAGAAAAATTAATTTTTAGCAAACAGTTTTGTATAAACAAATATCGGGAAATCCGTAACAAAAAAGATACAAGGTGTGACATTTTTAATAAATAATAACGTTTTTTTCTCTATTTCTGAGCATTCAAAATTATTTAAATTTTGTTAATCAAATTTTGCACATACGGTACAGGAATGGAGGGCCATAAAAAGGAATACATAATATTAAGTTTCTATCCCTACCAGTGGCGGAGTTATGGGTAACCAGCGATATTAATTAAAATAATATATATTTTTTATTACAGCTTTCAATTGTTCTATCTTTTTTTATTAAGGGTTTCGAAATATTTGTGTGAATCAAACTTTTTGCTTAAAATTAATTTTTCTATTACTTATTTCAACACACAAATCGCGAGTTATCCTGTATATCTTTTTATTAACGTCACTGTTCTTGCTGCGTTTCAGAACTAAAACACGATACGTCTCAAAGAAAATATAAATACAATAGCTTGAAGAAAATACATACAGGGTGGGCAAATGAAAACGAAACAGCCATTTTCAGGAACTGCGTCAAGATTGTAGAAAAACGCTCAGACCCGTCGATTTTAGATTAAAGGGGGACATTCTTTGCTTGTATTTTTGACTCCGCCACTTTCACCCCCAAGCAAGGGTAAGCATCACCCCAAAATATTTAAATGGCATTGGGGGTTGAGTAATATTTCTTTTGAAAGCTCTTACAATGCTCTTTGCAACAGACTTTAAATTTTATAATTCCGCCCAATACTTTGAAAAAAATTTACATTTTAAAATTTAAATTATGTTTAGTTGCTTACTTACTACTTAGTTGATTAAATGTTCAAACTGATGACCGCCCGCTTCCATACAAGAATAAAGATTTTGTTCGAAACGTTCGCGCACATTCCGAAGCATTTCCGGAGTGATTCGACGGCATTCGTCGACGATTCTTTGACGCAAATCTTCCAGCGACGCTGGCTGTGTTTTATAGATTTTACTTTTTAGGTATCCCCACAAAAAGAAATCAAGGGGCGATAAATCCGGTGATCGTGGAGGCCACTCAATGCTGCCTCTTCTCCCAATCCAATTCCGTAGAAAACGTTGGTCCAAATACTGACGGACAATTAACGCATAATGCGGAGGAGCACCGTCCTGTTGAAAAATCAAATGATCTTCATCATACTCTGGAACATTTTCAATAATATCAGTCAAGGCAGGGTCAATAGCGTCTTCCAGTAATTGCAAATACATTTGGCCAGTCAAATTACCAGGTAGAAAAAAAGGACCCACCAGCCGGTCACCGAAAATTCCAGCCCATACATTTAATTTTTCCGGTTGCTGTGTATGCACCTCGTGAAAAACTCTTGGGTTTGAATCGGACCAATAGCGGCAATTGTGACGATTTACCGTCCCGTTCAAGAAAAAACTGCATTCATCAGAAAAACAGATGTTAAAAAGGAACTGTGGATCGTTCCCTGCTCGCTCACTCATTATTTCGCAAAATTGCAAACGGCGGTCATAATCATCCTCATGAAGTTCCTGGACTAAATGTATTTTGTATGGATGGAATTTATTCTTCTTCAAAATGGTTTGTATGCTAGTTCGATTGATCCCAGACACAGATGCCAGCTGCCTCGTACTTAATGTAGGATCAAGATGAACTTGTCCCAAAACTGCAACTTCACTAGCTTCATTAACTATAGGTTTTTCAATTTCTCGTTTTTTATTGGCTACGTTCCCTGTCTCTTGAAATTTTTTTACTAACTCTAGAACATACTTCCTCCTGACATGTCGATCTTGATGTTGTTCATTAAATAGCTGAGCTGTTCTATTCGCACATTTATTGTTCATAAAGTAAAGCGAAATGATATCTACCCTTTCCGCAATGGAATAAACCATAGTGTTTAATTTTCAAAAACACAATTAAATAAACTACCAACCAACGCTTCCAAATAATACTAGAAAATAATTTGGAATCCACTAATTTTACGTTCATTGTGTGTGTATAGCATTCATTTCTGTTTTTTACAATTGTTTTTTTTTTACGAAAGTGATAACAAATCGCCAAAAACCAATGTAACGCAAGAAATACTAAATTTATACCATTGGCGTACTTAACTCGAATGACTGACATTTTTACCGTTACTAATTGTTTGTACATAAGTTTCAACTTTAAAATCAAAATTCTTAATAAGTATTGGGCGGAATTATAAAATTTAAAGTCTGTTGTAAAGAGAATTGTAAGAGCTTTCAAAAGAAATATTACTCAACCCCCAATGCCATTTAAATATTTTGGGGTGATGCTTACCCTTGCTTGGGGGTGAAAGTGGCGGAGTCAAAAATACCAGCAAAGAAAGTCCCCCTTTAATCTAAAATCGACGGGTCTGAGCGTTTTTCTACAATCTTGACGCAGTTCCTGAAAATGGCTCTGTTTCGCTTTCATTTGGTCACCCTGTATAATGTGAGATTGAAATACTTGTAAATCAAAACACTAAATGATTCCGCGTAAGCAAGGCCTAAAAGTCTTTATTTTCTTGAAAAAATCCTTTTAAAGTAAACATTTTGGTATTTCTTTTTACAATTACAATTTGTTAACCAATTTCAACGAACTTTTTGTGTTAAATAAATCTCGCGAAAGCGTGTCCGAAGCGTGTCTCAATCATTTTTTAATTCAAAGCCATGGCCAACCGCGACCATATATTTTGGTACAAAAAACAGAGGAGTGCTATTAGAAATTTTTTTAGGCAAAAAGGTAAATTAATTCTTCGTCAAGGTAACCTAAAAATTTTGTAATAGATATCATCTGAAAATTATATTGAAAAAGCATTTAAGAATACTGAAAATATAAAGAAGACAGAAAGACTAATTATATAGATGACAAAGATTCTATATACAGGGTGTTTCTGAAATAAACGCGTTCCTGGAAAAAGGTGAAGGAGGGCACGAAGATAAGCAACTTTTATTAAGCAACAAATTTAAAGCCATTACTGATGCGACAGCCAGATGTACCTTTGATATCGAAGTTGCCGCGCGTCTCAGTGCGAAAGCGCTGATAGCAGTTTTGACGGTTTAAATTTGGTGTTCGAAAATGCTGAAATCTATTTAAAAGTAACACAAGGAATAAATTAATTACTTACCAACAGACAATATCCTCTACAAAAATTGTTCAAAGTTGTTTACATGCTTCCAAACGACCGTCAAAATTTTGTCACATTTGTTACAGTATTTTTTTTTTTTATAAAAATATCAATGAAAAAGTTGTAAATCATTATAAAAGATTTTTAACTACTCTAGTAATATTTTCAATTGTTTGCATTTATGATACCTACATCATTGAAAAGCTTAAAAATGCTGCCTTCGTTCAGCATACAATTGAGGTACTCATAAAAAAAGAAGTTGCAAAAGAAATTAAGGTCACTCGAAAGTTCATACTGAAATTTATTGCAGAAACTTGCTATAAGGAAGATTTTATAGATTTTATTATTTGTCAAAAATAAAAAAGGTATACCATATGGTTATCTATTTTTATTGTTTCTGTGGATATTATATAAAACAGGAAATGTATTATAGAGCTTTCGGATTTGCATCTCTAGTAGGTACTTAATTAAATTGTACTTTAAATTGGCACTGTCTGCACAACTTCCTTTATTCTAAATGCTTTTAATTTTATTCTAGTTTCACAGCCGCTACTGTGGTTTACTTTCTGTTAAGTACTAAGGAATTTTATTTGTTCTCAAGGAAGTGTAATTTCTAAGGACATTTACACATTCATTGTCTTCACAGTTGTAGAACTGAAAGCTTACATAATATTACTAACATATGCCTATGTAATTACTGAAACAGCTGAAGTTTTGCAACATTTTTTTTTTCATCAGTAATATGATAAAAGTTAAATTCACTAAGAGAAATTTACCCAATTTTTTAATATTTGTTGCAGTGTGTTTACTATTTATTGCAAGTTTGAAAATAAATAAATAAATAATTACAGACAATATTTAGGTACTTTTTGTTTATAAATATAAAAATCTAATGTATGTTAATAAATAAAGAGCAATCACAGTAGTAATTTAACAGGTAGTAATAAACATTGTAATAGAAGATTAATAGACGTAATATATTTTAATATTACAATAATCTAACCGTTTTAGGGCAACAGACTATCACTGAAGTCTCTAGTTATTCACATTAATTGAATCCAATAAAGAAGTCCCCTTTAGTTTCATTCTCAAATATCATACTTGCTAATTACCATTAATATTAATAAGTAGATATCATTATAATTTCATTTCCAAATATTATTTCTCACATTTGCAGATAACTTCTTCATAATGAATAAATAAATAAACATTTTTTTCCTGTAAATGACTTAAAGTTATTTGTGACTATTTGTGACCATTCTGTCTTCTTGCAGCAAACTTATTGTTGCCATTTTCATAAAAAGTTATTAATAGGTACTATCTAGATATCCAGAAGATGGTTTACCTAGTATCAATACAACTTTGTATTACCCTGTTTTAAACGTATGAAGTCAATTCAAACAGATTAAAAAAATTATTTAAAGAATCCTATCAAATGAAGTCAAATGTTCTTCGATACTTGAAACCTAAGTATGCAAAAATATCTAACCCCATCCCATTGAATTACACAACCTAGTAAACAGCTAGTAATAAGTAATTGTCTAAAATAAAAATAAAAGCGATATGTCTAAATGTAATTAATAAGTACTTGATATATTGGAATTATTAAATAATGCAGTCATTCAAAGAAACATCCTGTAT